TTTTAAGCAGAGATGAAATCAGACTTGTGTTTTAGGAAGATCACTGCTTATGTGGAGAACAGATTTAGTAAGAGATACAAGGATTCAGATGCAAAATTTCAAAGGATACCTTATTTTCACAATATGTTCATAAAAATAATTTAGGAGGAAATGGTCAAAGCCAGTGAGAATTTGCATTAAATGTTGCATCCACATTTCACAGAAAACCCAGTGTCAAAAATGTATATTAAATATAATATACAAGTATGAGAACCAAGATTATGATTTCCACTTTGTTTATGGGCTGCAATGAGTGTGGATGTTTAAACGGACACCAGGTTCAGCTCAGGAGAACAAAATACAAAGAAACTTTGACCTCCTATAAGCTTGCAGCATTACTTTAAATTAATGGCATTCTCCCAGCTGTTGGCAATGTAGAGTCATGCAAGCCCCTTTTGGTAGTTGATGATTAAGTATATTATTCCACAGCAGCATTTCACAGGTTCATGCAGACTCACCCTTTCTTCATCACATCAAGATCTTTAATAACAACAGATAATTTTGAGATGAGTTATTCTAAGAAATATCAAATATCCATCAGAACAATAAAGTGTTTTAAAAAAATGAAGTTAGGCATCACTTCCCTTGTATGTTAGGGAACATAATGATATATGTGATATATATGATAAGCCAAACTATATATGTTTTGTTCCTTCCTAGTGAGTGCTTCTTACTGTAGAAGTTTGTGGTCTTTGGATCCCCAGTGCTGAGCCCAGAGCCTGGCATATTGGAGGGGTTTAGTAAATGTTGAACTAAAGTGAACTGCATTCTAATGTTACACCTTCTAAATGTGAGCTTTTCCTCTCCAGAGTTAATTTACAGTCTCTTCCTTTGAAGTTTCCTGGCTTTGGAGTTTCCCTCCCATGGAATTTTGTCCCTTGTGTTTTGTCAGATTTACAACATGGCCCTGTAGTGAGTTCTTCTCTGTTTATCAACTGCTTTTTGTGGTTAAATTGAGCCCCACTCAGTTAGAAATGTCCTGGGGATTAGGTTGTGTTAGTATACTTGGTCTTAAGTCAAACTGAAAATAAACCAAGAGAAATTAGCCTTTTTTTGGTTTCCATTGTACATTTAGTTCAATAAGGAGCTCCCTCCCTTGGACAAAACAGGTTGTCTCTTAAATTTAAAAAGGGAAGGAAGGAAGGAGGGAAATAGGAAAGAAGAAAAGAAAGGAGAAGAGGGAGGGAACAAAGATAAGACACCATAGTCTCTTAATCTCCAAATTTTATTCTTCATGGTTGAGTAGTATACATGTTCTAAGTAGTGATGCATGTTCTAAGTATATATTTTGCCTTGTTGGCTTGTAGAATACACTGGTGAAAGCCAGGTTTATAATCTTAGATTATTACTTACTAGCTGTATAATACTGGGAAAATTACATAACTTCTCTGAATTTCCTTGTTTGTAAAATTATATTTATTATTTCAGTGGTGGTGCTGTAATAATCAAATAGGCTTGAGATTGAAATCTCTCTGAAAACTTCGGAGTGTTATTTAGATATCATGTCCTTTTCTGTCATTCCTTAGTTAATGTTTTCTTATGTCTGTCTCTTTTTTGCTGATAGGCATTGGGGCTAGAGATAAGAACATTTCTTATAAGCAAAACAATACATATATACAACACTGTTTGTGGGGAAGGGGCATGTATTAATGCTCTTTTTTCTCATATCTCCTCAGCCTCACTATCCAAGTCAAAGATGAATTTCTTACCACTCTATTTCATCCTATGACATCTCGTATCATTATACTTTCATGTCGTACACAACACAAGGGATACAGTTTAAACTAGCTCATCTCTTCCTCCAAATTTCTAAATTTGTTTCATTAGATTTCTTTACAAACTCTTCCAATGATCTCCAAATAAGATCACACACACACACACACACACAGAGAGAGAGAGAGAGAGAGAGAGAGAAAATAACAGACTCTTTTTCCCGCTTGCAGAGCCTTGAGACAAAGTTTTATGTTATCATTTTTAGGAGAATGGACTCATCGGCAACCAAAACACCAGGATGAAATCAAAGAAGAGAATGTCCTATATTTTTTGAGATATGAAGTGCATGTAACTCAAGAAATTCAGGATCAACAGAAACTGTTTGAAAAATGTGGTTTGAAGGTTATAAAGGTATACCTAATTAGGGATAGTTTGGCTCATCTTGCAATAATTAACTTTTGGCTCGTAGCCAAAAGAAAAGCCCACCTGGCACTGGGTGGGGAGTGGCTCATGCTTGCGATCGATCTCACCACTTTGGGAGACCAAGGCTCAAACTCTTGAGCCCAAGAGTTCAAGGCTGCAGTGATGGGGACAGAGTGAGATCCTGTCTCTAAAAAAAGAAAAAGGCTCATTTGCTGACGACTCTAACTTTAAGCTAGCTGCTCATCAACCTGGAAGTAGGTCAGTCAGACAGCAGGGAAGGGCAGGTATGAAGGGTATAGTTGGAATCAGGAGATAGAAATGATGTCAGGACATACATACAGAAGCCACAGATACCAGATCTGGAAAAGAGCTATCTGCCTGTCCTTGAGCAAAATGAAAGAAGTAGAATAGTAGTTATCATGCTGTATTATAATTAGTTACCTATTTTATCTCTCACGAAACTGTGACCTGTAAGAGCTTCAAGAGAGAGCTTTAAGCTTCAAGAGAGACTATGTTGTTGACTACTTATTTCATACCAGTGCCTGGCACATAGTGATTACTCAGTGAATTTTTATTAAATTAATTTATTAAAGAAGGAACAGGGAATTTTGAAGAGCTAGAAGTCAAAATAGGAGAGGGTTAGAAGCCGGGAGAGAGCCTGTTGTGCTAGCTGATGTGCATATAGCCCCTTTATTTTTGAAGCAGTACAGTAGGGATATAAGGAGCATTTCTCCCGCCTCTCTTCCAGTTTTTCTCTTCATTGGTTGTAGGTGGAGAAGATAGAGAATGAGGTTCTCATGGCTGCCTTCCAAAGAAAGAAGAAAATGATGGAAGGGAGACCACATAAGAACCCCGTGAGCCACAGACTGTTTCAACAGGTTCCACACCAGTTCTGCAATGTGGTGTGCAGAGTTGGCTTTCAAAGGATATACTCAGAGCCCCATGGTAGGTGTCAGCTCCTCATCACTGGGGCTACTCTATGTGGAGATTGGTGACCAGACATCAGTAGGTGGTTCTCCACTAGTATCATTTGTTGCTATGGGGAGGGGATCATTTGCGACTAGAATTTAGAGGTGAAGTCTTTTGGAAAGAGTGGTATTTTTAATTTTCTTTCATATCTTTTGTTGATGATGTATTTTACATTGAGAAAAGTGTGAGCAGTAAGAGCTATGGTTCTGGCCAGGTACGGCGGCTCACACCTGTACTCCCAGTACTTTAGGAGGCCCAGGCAGGAGGATTGCTTGAACCAGGAGTTCAAGACCAGTCTGGGCAACATAGTGAGACTGCTGTCTCTACCAAAAAAAAAATTTTTTTTAATTGTACAGTTATATTGGTGCATGCCTTTAGTCCCAGCTACTTGAGAGGCTGAGTGAAGCAGGAGGATTGCTTGAGCCCAGGAGCTCGAGGCTGTAGTGAGTTATGATTATACTACTGTACTTCAGCTTGGGGAATGGAACAAGACTCTGACTCTAAAAAACAAAAACAAAATCTATGGCTCACTCTTTTTTTCCATTTATCTGTCCTGTGTCCTATCTGTAGAGAGCAGCTGCTTGGAGCTTTTTTTTTTTTTTTTTTTTTTACTTATTTCAACAAAATTATTACGAACAGCACTGAACACTCCTCATCCCTTAATTAAAAGGGCATTTTCCAAAATTTAAGAAAGTTGGTCTTCTCTTTTCTATCCTCTTTACTTCCCATAGCCTGCTATTGAATGAATTAGGTATCATTTGGCAGGTGAAGTGAGTAACATCTTAAGATCCTTCTCAGCCACTGGAGTTCTATGTATAGCTTCCATGTCTCTTCTCAGTTGCACAAAAATTATTGTATACATAATTGCTGTATCATGTATGTAATGTATATAATAATTCAGCAATTATGTGTACACTATTTTTAGTCACAATGAAAATTTTTAACTTGAGATCACTCCAAAGAAGGAGGATAAAAAATTCAGTAATAATCATGGAGAGCTACCTAGCAGTGCAGCTTGACATTGTCTGGTCCATTAAATATGTGGCTCTTGAGTATTACCTTTCAAAATATATAGTATGATCCTTGCTATGGAGTCAATGCCAATGGTCTTGATGTCTAGAAACTAAAGGATCTGGAAATCATTTTTCCTTTGTCTCAGAATATAGGTAATACCTAGGGTAAAAACTAAAAATAGACAATTCCTGGAGGTAGATAAAAATAGAAAAATGAGTCCCACCAAGAAGTCTTCTGAGCTTAACCATGAAGTGATGATCAATATAGTCCCTTCATTGGCAAACTCTTAAAAATCTATAACTTCCATTTGCTCCTAATTTGGTCTCTTTACAATCCTCATCCCCTTACTCCTGCTTAAACTACTTTCAATAAGGTGCTCATATCCTATTTTCCAAATGTAGTAAGTACCCTCTTTTCAGTTCTGTGGCAGATACTGCTAACTACCTACCCAACATCTACATACAGCTTTCTTCTCAAAACATCTGAAACACTCATCATCCTCCCAAGGAAGGGAGCCCCAAAGTCTTGGCCAGTCTCATCAGCCACATCAAGTTCAGGCACTTTCCTCTTAAGGAGCAGGAGGGTGGTGCCTGTGGCTCAGCGGGTAGGGTGCCAGCCCCATATACCGAGGGTGGCGGATTCAAA